ACACTCCCAATTGGGTGAGGGTGAAAGGCTCTTCTAGGAGTCATTTCTGATGAATTCTCTTATGGGGGGAATGTCTGTGAAAACCACAAGCTGTAAGCAATGCTTAGGCTTGGACTAAAGCTCTGTACCTACTGAGAGCTCAAAAAGTATACATGAATGAGAGATCAGGGGTGATGGTGGTTTACGGAGACAGAGGGGCCAACAAACCGCAGGCCACACCCACTGTCTGCAAAGGAAACGAAAGTACAGACTAGGTTCTTGGTGGTTCCTAAAGTATTAGTGAAGACCTCAGACTCTAAAACTCATCGGTCTAGGTCTGAGGAGAGCAGCCTCAGGAGAGTGTGCGCACGTGTGGCCCGCAGGGTTTCAGGTCACATGCGCACATCCATCAACGTCTGTGCACAATCTGCACACCAAGGACAGCTATCAGGGACACAAAGTCATACTGAAGGGTTTCTTTTTGATTGAATCATCTCTTTTACTAGTTGCTGTAAAGTTCAACTGACTTTATAAAACCTGAGAACTTGAGGGGAGCATCACGCTTTGTAATCTGAGGAGGCCAGCCAAGGCACGACCCACCTAATAGCAACCGACTAAAATGTCATGTGGATTTGAGGTTCTGGACCAGCCTCTCTGAGAGATGAATAATCTTTCATACTTGAATCTGCTAACCAAGTTAGCAAGGCTTGCTGCAGGGTTCCTTAAATAAGGAACTTCCCAAGCTCATATATTTATTTACAGAACAATTATTTGACAGAGATGGGTTGAAAACTAGAAGAACCAAGAGTACTAGTCAGAAACAAAGACAAAGCATTTCTTAAGCATGGTTGAAGCTGATGGCATAGGAATTACATTTTTACACTATTCTGAAAAACAAAGTAACCTAAATTTGGCTTTGTAATACTGTGATGAGCTTATTCAGATCAAGGCCATGTTTAAAGCCACAGAATTGCACAACATTGTCACAAATGACCAGAAAAGTGCAAATTCCCTGGCTGTCCAGTGGTTAGGACTTGGCACTTTCACTGCCAGGGCTCAGGTTCAGTCCCTATTTTGGGGAACTAAGATCCCATGAGCTGTGCAGCAGGCCCCCCCCCCACCCCCCGCCAAATAAATAAGCATGGGAAAGCAAGACCTTTGTGCCAGACATCACAACTTTAGCATATAATTCTGGGAAAATTTCATACATAGCATTTTACTTATTCCTGCACATGAAATCAATTTTGCATGTGCCTCCAAAACTGTGCCTGCAAATAAGGGAGAAACAGCAGACCCCGCATATATGAACACTGATGTAGGGCTTTTTGCTACAAAACTGATACATTTGTTAAAGAGTTTTTAGCACCCACTCGGATAGTTTTTTTACACACGGCTGTTTCATAGGGCTGTGCTAATCATCAGACTCCAGTTACAGTAGACTTTCCTATTTTTTACCAGACACCTTCAGTGGCAGGGACCTCATTCAGAAGAGCCCTTTTCACCGAGCACCTCCTTCCACTATCTTTCCTCTTGACCACCTTTCCTTATGTGGCCTTAAACAGAGCTATGAGTTATTGAAGTCTGATGCTCCCAAGAGCCATGGAGTAAAATACACAAGGGAAATGGAATACTTGCTGTGAGGGGCCGTCAAGAGAACTCTTTAAACTCCTTACCTGTTTTTTTTTTTGTTTTTAACTGTGGCCCACAGACCAGAAAAAATACAACAGGCTTAGTATTATAAAATCTCTTTGTATGTTATCGAAATTCAAATTGAATGGGACGGATGGATTTTTGTGTTGCTTGTTATTCTAATGACGTAATCCGCTATCCTAAACTACATTTCTTTGTGGGTCACAGGGAGAGGGACCTTCTCTCCTATTGCCTGAGTCTAATTATAAATGAAATAATCTACTGAGTAACAAACCTAGGCTCCAACTCTGTGGGTTAAAAAAGAAAACAAACAAAAGACCAATACAATCTAAATACAAATCCAAATATTTCACTGCAGCCAATCACAGAAATTGTATTTTATGACAATGGCCATGAAGACACAGGCATTTCTATTTGTTCAAAAGATTGGAAGTATTTTCGAAAACTAAATGAATGAAAAACAATCTGAGAAAGTCATGCAGTAGGTTCTACTATTTGAAATTCCAAAATTCCACTGTTCTCCATGATTAACTATCCAGGAGTGGGAAGCCCACAAACCCCTACAGTTACAGTTTAGCAGGA